CCAGATATGATCATATCTCACTGTTTACATGTTTAATGGAACAAACTTGAGAATCTTGAGAATGGATTTAATTGATGTTTTATTTGAGTTATAAGAGAGTAGCTCTTTCACCAGAGACACGTTTGTATTCCTTACAAACATGACAACGGTCACAATGAGTAAGGCAACTGCAAAGATTAAGAAGAGAGCACATAGGGAAATAATGATACCAAAGAAGGCCTTACCAACTTTCATATCTTCTGAAATGACACAAGTATTCTTTGAGGCATTGTAATCATAACCATCATCACAAGCGAATGGACAATTGTTGGTAGTGGATGAGTTGGTGTAGACTGCATTTTCAGCTGGCTTATTAGTACAAGCAGTACAGGAAAGTTGACCTGGGTTATATTCACCAATGGCACATGGAATGCAGTTCTTCTTTTCAGCAGAGAAACCAAATCCAGGATTACAGCTGGTCAAGATACAGGTTGGAACATATTTACCAGTGTTGGTATTACAATTTTGAACACCTTGTCCATTGGTCAAGTTACATGCCTTGGTTTGCCATTTAGCACAAATATCAAAGAATTTCATAGTATCAATCCAAACCTTTGATCTATCAACAGCACTTTCCTTAGTATAACTCAATCTGAAATCAGAACCTTCAAAGAAGAATTCCAAAGGAGTTAATTCATTTTGATTCCAAGCATAAGCTTCACGAATGGCAAATCTGAATCTTGATTGAACTGGAAGTGGCTTTGGAGTAACATCTGAATTAATGTTCAAACTCTTAATATCAGCAAGTAAATCTTCAAATTCATAAACTTGACCACCTGGAACTTGTGCAATTTGTTGTGGTTGACCACTCAAACCACCAACGACAACAGTCTTTACCTTTTGAGATTCTTGGAGGTGACGAGTGAACAATGCACAAGTGGAGGCACATCTACCATTTGAGAGGAGAATGAAATCATCTGGTGAGTACTTTAACAAATCTTCACCAGTGAAATAGTAATTATCAAATGATGGTTGACAATAATTTTCCTTAAGAATGGATGAATAGAATGCTGGTTTTCCATCAGTACCTCTAATGTAACTCTTTTGATTGGTATACCAAGTTTCATCTTTGAAATTCTTTCCATCAATGGTCTTCCAAGTAGCAAAATTCCAAATAGAATCAGCATCTGGTGACAATTTGGTTCCAGCAGTTGCTAATTGTCTTCCCAATTCTGTGGCAATCATGTCAGTTCTAGCAAAGAGAGTTTCAAAATTGCTAGAGAAGGCATTAGAGTGCAAATATTTAATGAGGGCATAACCCAAACATTCTTCACCACCTATTTGTTATTAAATTAATCAGAATAGTATTAGTATTTGGAAATTATTTGAATAATAATGTTAAAATAGAATACATACCACCATTGTTGGTAACATCGACAATAATACGTGGAATCTTATTGAGCTTGGCAAGATACATGGCTGTTTGGAAATCTTTAGCAAATTGAACTTCATCTTTTGGAACAAAAGATTCAACAGTAATAACACCAACCTTTCCATCAATTTGGAAATAATTAACTTGATCACCAGTGATGAGATTGACAATATTGTGAGTATCCTTGGTTGCTTTAGACAAAAGTGGAAGAGTTCTCTTTTCTTGGAGAGGATCGACCTTCTTTTCCTCATTGGTCAATCTAGCTCTATTAGCAGTAGCAAGACATGAGGCATAGAAATCGTTTGGTGATTGATAATTAATCAATGAAGAACCAACCCAAGGAATATTAACAGTACTAGTAGTTCCATCAGTAGCCAAAATTTCATAGGAAACAATTTCACCATTAACTGGGAATCCAAGTCTATTCAAAGATCTAGTCATGAACAAGTTAGAGATGGCAACATTGAAACGAGCTCCTTCATCCTTGTAACCACCAGCATTAGCATTAGCCCAATCGACAATATGTCTAATAGCAACCTTTCCATGAATTTTGGTAATTTCACCTCCAACAAACTTTTTCAAATCATATCCCANACCAGTATAATAATCAATAATTCCAGAAGCATTATTGAGAGAGGCA